GTCAATAACTCCATGGTCTTCATCATCCAATTATCTCTCCCCCCGGATCGGCCCTTCGCTCCTGTGGTCTACGTTTCAATTCGAAAAAACGGCGACTGTCTCGGTTTTATGGCACTGGAATGAAAATTAAACCCATCCTGAAAAACCAAAACTTTAAACAAAGAAGTGAACGAGTGGTCGAACGACTGTCTTTCCTGTGAACCGTCACCTGTGATCAAATCTGGCACTCAACCGATTCCCCAATCAAAAATAAACACAATTATATTGTCTTAATACAATAAAATAAGTTCATGGACAGATCTAAGCACCTTGATCCAGTTCCTTTAAGCCTAGTCCAGTACTTAAAAAACACATCCAGAAATTCCTGCTACCAAAGGAAGAACTTTATAAACACATTGGTATTGCAAAAATGTGACTAAAAACAGACCTTGAATAAGTTGAAATTAGAAGTTAAACACAGGTCAGGTTCTTAAGAGGTAAGTCGACTCCACTTTTGGCAATACCTGCAATTGCGAAGTCCAGAGAAAAGAAAACCCTCACAAAAACCGCGTGACGTTTTGTAAATGATCCGAACGTTAGACTGCAAAAAAGCTAAAAAGAGAAGGCCTAATTGCGAGGTTTTTCCGGTGGATTGATGCTCATATTTTGACAGGGGAGGCAAACAAAGTGGGCCTAAGCGGATTGGCCGTGACCGGGTGACAATGAGTACCCCATAAATCTGCCGGAGCAGTTCAACAAGGGTGCCAGGACCCGGGGAAGGACGGCCCTTTTCCACTGGAGCGTGTCGCCGTAACGAACCGCTTAAATAATACTAAATAGACAAATTTAGTTAATTTTGAGGTTTGAGATCAAAACGAATCGGTTAACGTGGTAGAAGAAGGTAGGCATATTCTTGCTTTTTTTATTATCCGCAAGTCCTTCGTACCAACAAAAAATTCTTCAGATATAATAGCTTTTATTAAGTCTAATATTTAATTACCTTTTACTATAATTTTTATTGCAATCTACATAAGAAATGCTGTACAATGATATACTCACATAGTTGATTTGAGCAAGTAGAAAGGTGAAATAAAACAAAAAACTAAACATTTCAACTTAAAAAAAAGAAATGGCGAAACAGAGCGTAGTCACAAGAAGGGTCTATAGAATGATTAAAAAAAGTTTGGTCTAAATCCGTGACCCACCAACTTGGTCGTTCCCTTGTTAGTCCGAATGCTGAGCCTCAACTCAACTTCATTTCCGCTCTATTTCGTTACTTTTCCAGAGATGTGCTTGTTATTTGTTCATTGGTAGTCTATGATCATTGTTTCCAGTTTTAATGGAAAACATTGCCAGCATTGTTGGTAGTGCTCATTGGTAGTGCTGATTCCATATCCACAACATTCTTTTCTTTTTCATTATGAACAAGAACTCCAAACTCTTAGCTGGTAGTGCCGATTCCATATACCACATTCTCATTTTCTTTTCGATTATTAACAAAAACTCCAATCCCTTAGCTGGAACTGCTCATCTCACATCCACCACATTTTCTTTTTCTTTTTCATGATGAATACGAATTTCGACCTATTAGATGGCAGGGCACAATCCATATCCACTGCATCCTACATCCTTCTTTTTTGTTATGAAGAAGAATTCCAACCTCTTAGCTGGTAGTGCTCATTTCATATCCACTACATTCTCTTTTTTCATTACGAAAAAGGCATTCAACCCCTCAGTTGGTAATGCTCATTTTATTTCATATACCACAAGCTCTACCTTTTTTCCATTGCGAAAAAGACCTTCAACCCCTTAGCTGGTAGTGCTCAATCGATATCCGCCACATTTTTCTTTTCTTTTTCATCGTGAACCAGAACTCCAACCCGTTAGCTGATAGTGCTTATCCCACATGTACCACATTTTCTATTTAGCTCCCTTATCACCTAATTACCATGCGATCTGCTTATCTTCGCTGTTTTCTGAAAAGTGAAAAGTCAGGCGCATTTCGGCATTTCGCCATCATCAGTGAATGTCTGCATGTCGTCTCTCGTATTCCCTATTCTCGGAGTCTCGCGAATATTAGTTTCTACGGCTGATAAACGCAGAAGCACGTCTGGCCGAAACCCAAAGCGAGATAAGGCGGACCCGGGTGAAGTCCACAGATTAGCATTACTTCATTTCTGCGTTTGCTGTGAAAAGTCCAAAGTTGAGTGCCGGATAAAATTCGTCACGAATATTCTTTTCTGATTAACGCAACGTTAGCAAAGAAAACTTCTTAACATTTCGGCTTCCTGTTTTCCCTCGTTCTGTAATTTTCTTTTGCTTCGAAATATTGCGAGATTTGTTGGTTGTTTGTTTCTTGTTAAGAATAGCCGTTGTTCTCATGTTCAGACGTCTTCTGATAATAATTACGAACTCCAGTCCTTCAGAATGTTTCGGCCATGCTGTATCAACTTTCGAATCGCGACAGTTTTTTTTTCGTCGAAATTATACAAAATAAGAGCTCTTTATCTACCACTTTACCTATGTTCAACGTTCAGAAATTATGATGACCAGTCATTTTAACGGTCGAGTAGGACCGTTTTTCCCTCGCCGAAGAAAAACCCTTGGAAAATGAGACCGACTGACGAGTGTCCCGTTGATCCGTCTCTACTGGATGGAGGAGAAAAAAATTAAGTATTCCCTGGAGGCAACTGGCATAAATCAGACACCACGAAGAAAAATAGTTTGGAATTAAACCGGTGGCCGATGCCTTGATTGACGGACACGAATCAGGACGGCAATTTGTTCAAAACAACTATTAAAGATCCTTCTAAACCGATGTCCAAAATAAAACATCCAACGTCACTTTTTTTCTAAACGCATACATTTATAAATAATATAATGTTATATGTGTATAATGTATTAAGAGGTCCGAGTTGTTGATTAGACACACCGAGAGGGAAAAAATAACCGCTGTAAATAAAAATAAGATTGAGTAACGAATTCCACGGGTCGGGGGAGGAGGTAAAAAAACGAGGATCGCCCCCCTGGAATATTAAATTATATAATGTAGATCCTGTCAAGATAGTATGACCCTGCCTGGACTGTTTCGTCGTCCGTCCAGGCTTTCTGCGACGCTACCTGGGCCCTCGCAGATTTCTTTGTCCGCTTTCTGAAGTCACGCTCCGGCTATTAACCGACCTGTCAAACGGTGATTAATTTTCGTAAACACAATGATAGCATCTTTGGAGAGGGCTGACCGCAGCCTTTTTCCAGGGGAGCCTCTCGTCCAGAGTCGACGGACCTCGGAGGCCCATTGTACATTTATTTTCAAACTAAAAACTATTTCTGGGCGGGGTGAAAATCCACCGGACACTGAACATGTCTCTCAATCCTTCTATTCTCTGGGATACCATTTTATTGTTTTATCTTCCTTTAAAAAAATCAGAAAGGAAAAAGAAAGGATCAAAAATGTAAAGGACAATCTCACTAAATTTATTCAAAAACGTCCGTTTTCAGCATTCATAGTTGAAAAAGCAAAAGTAAATCTTTGGATTCGTTTTTGGTTATACCTGTGCGATCAAGTCCTGACTTCTATCTTCGCGCGTTGAAGTCTCCGGTGGGGCTGAAGCCTATTTTCCTCGGAACGGACAACTGGGGAAAACAAAACAATTCTCTCTTCTCTCTTTTTCATCATCTTGGATTCGGTCGTGCGAGGTGGAAAAGACACTGTTCCGTCCGGGGTTGAAATTTCTCCGCCCTGGGATCGCGATCTTCGTTCGCCCCGGGAAAATATCCGGCCTTCTAGGAAGACGTGGGTGGGACTGACAAAAGAGCCTCGGGGGCAGATGTTTCGGTGATTTAGTGACGTGGCTCAGCGTGAGGCCCTATAGAGACGTCAGGGCGGGACGCAGATTTACTGGCAAGGTGCTACCTCGCTAAACACTTTAAAAGTTGAGCATCGTTGCGACGAGGGGTGAGAAACGGCCCTTGGACCAAACGGGGCGTGACAAATAAACGTCCCAAGAACAATGGGCCACACTCGAAGATCGAAGTGCTTCAGTGCGAAGCATCTTCATTCGGCTACATAGCTTGAAAGCCCAATGCTTTATAAACGGAAGTAAAGACTACTATGAAGTACTTCTGATAAATCAATATTAACTACTGAAATAACTTTTAGCCAAAGATTATTTGGAGATAATGAGATGCGGCCTGGTGTGACGTAGGTTTAGAAAAACATTTTCTTTATCATGCCAACATTTCGATCCATCGTTTTTAGCCAGGTTTAAGAAAATAGACGAAAAAATCATCTAAAAATCGTTAAGTTAAAGAGGGGTTTTCTTAAGTCGTAAGTCAAAACGGTTCAGAATGAGGTTGTGGAGCTAATCGCGTCCAACATCTCGGTCGTGGTAAACGGGATTAGCCAGGTAGCCGGGAGATATGACAGGATGAGTCGAGACGTTTAAACGAGATAGTGGAAGTTGCGTTGTACTGGATGTCCACCGGTGGTGAATCCATGAAAACGAAAACTTCTCACCGCATTATCCACACCGTGTGGCCCGGCAGGGTCGGGGGCGGCCCTCTCAACTGTAAACGCATCCCTTTGTCCGCCTGAGAAGGGCTAATAATGGATTATTGCCGGCTTGTTTACATTACAATATCCAGAGCGGATTTGGGCCCCCTTTGTCGGCGGGGCCCTTTGTCGAAAAGGTTCACCCGCTGTATGGTTTGTATGTTAATTATCCGATCGGACGGGGAATGTTTGAAAAAATTTGGATTTTGAAAGAAGTTTTAAAACTGCCAGGCAGAATATTCAACCTAGTCGTCACTATAAACAATGTTCCCAATATGAAACTTGGTGGTTTCCGATCAATTTGGCTTTCCGCCATCATCAGTAGTCATTGATTCTAACTGTAGTAGTCACACTAACCACAGACATCAAGAGGATATCACACAACGTTCCAACACATCACAACAGCTGACTTTTTTTCTTCGTACTCCTTGTTTCTGCCAAGTTTTTTAACTGTTTTACCTTTTTCCAGGGGAAAAGCCGTTCAAATGCGAGTTCGAAGGTTGCGACCGAAGGTTCGCGAACAGTTCGGACAGGAAGAAGCACTCCCACGTCCACACATCCGACAAACCATATAACTGCAGAGTCTCTGGCTGTGATAAATCCTACACGCACCCAAGTTCTCTCAGAAAGCACATGAAGGTAAATATCTTATTAATCAATACAGTATTGGATATTCGGACTGCCATCGAGATGGATAAGATCCCATATTCCCCATTATATTCTGGCATGGCATATTTGCCTGCTGGCATTAGTCCAAAATGTCTTGCTTCACAGATTACCTATTCTATGTTAATCCAGATGTAATATCTGATCAGAGACTCGCGGCTTGGTGTATGATAGTAAGACATTGGTCACCATCCACTAGTCATCCTTGTATCTGATACAATCTGTCATAAGAAGATGGTAGTATTTGTTACTCTTCTATCCTCAACGCATTCGCGTTTGCAGCAGCATTCTGATTTCGTTGCTCCAGTGATAGATTTAGTTTTCCTTTAAATCAAGGCGTTGTAAATCGTGACCTCTCTGAGCCATATTCCAGCAGCAGCCATATGCAGGGCTTGTAAGCAGTACTCGTCTGAGTTTGCATCCAATTTGAAAGCAGTCGCTTTGGTAAATTAATCTGGATTCTCCTTTGACGTCATCAGGCTCAGTTTGTATATCACTATGAATTATTCCTCTTTATTTGTCCTTGATCCTAACATCATATCCGACCAAGCTTTGTAGATAGTAAAATAGCTGTTATGAGTCATAATATTCCATATATGTCTAAACTAACATCCCAAATTTCAAGATACTACCAAGTGGCTGCTGGTTGCTCAGATAATTGTGATCAGCCAGGTACCGAGCGTTATATTAACTTACGTCTTCTTATAGATAGCTTCTAGAATACAAAGAACAGTTAAGAAAATGAAAGTTAAAAGGAGCACTCTTTGCGTCCTCACACCGACTAGTATTCGTTCGCAATTATTGTCTAGAGTTGTTCGTTGATTTTACGGCTTTTTATCAGATCGCAAAGTTAAGGACTCTTGTGTGTATCCTTCAGGTCTTGAGTTTCCTCTCTGGAGTGCGATATCTGCCCAAGTTTGTTCCTGCAGCTCTGAGTCTATTCGTGTTGCTTAATAAACTAAACTAATCTTTATCAAGGACACTTGTATCTTTCTTGCCTAGGTTTTACCTCTTCCAGAAGTAAGACTGTAAGTCTGCATCAACAGAGGACATGTTAAGCTGTTTTCCTTCTTCCTAGCAATATCTGACACAGAATTCTTTCTACTACTTCGAACCTGTAAGCCTCTAATGTCAGTAGTGACCAGTCAACAGTCCAACTATCATTCTAGTTCTAACACGTCCTAGGTTTAGTAGTTCTGCCGTTATTTTCTGCGATGACGTTTTGATGAGCATTTTCGCATGCTCCTGTCTTAGAATATTATAGAATATAACCGATTACTAGTCATAACAGAGTGTTTGAGGGATTTATATTTTGGAAATTTAGCATGCCACATAAGAGCATCCTCACGAAACATTGCTTGGCCAATTTATCGGCCTCCTCGTTACTCATTTAGTCTGGTACTCAAACAAGGATAATTATATCGTTGTCTTCAATGTCTGTCAGGACCTTGATGCAATCCCAAACGGCTCTGGACTTTATTATCGATGAGATGAGTCCTTTATTGCCATCTGGCTGTGAGTAGATGGCTATTCTTTTATTGATAATACTTAGGCTTTTAATCCCCTTGGCAGTGTTCAACAGCCACAGCCTCTGCTTGAAAAACAGTCGTATATTGCCCGAGGCTTAAATGAATTCTAGTTCTGGGTTTCTTTCCATCGATATCAGCTTCCATATTTGGCCTTGAAGACATCTATATACAAGATACAGTAGGCATTTGGATCCCTCACTCCCAGTCTTCTGAATTTTGTAGTCATGCCATCAGCACTTATCATTTATCCCTAGAACCTTGTCAGTTCAACTGCGTTTAACAAGAAAATCTCAATTCTGATCCGTTGTTTTCAGGTGCACAGCGGAGGGAAATCACCACCTCACGGCTACGACTCCGAGGATTCGAACAGTTCGTCGGCCGGCTCGATCAGCGTAGGCGAATCGGGGGCGCTGGTTGGATCCGTCGGTCCGCCCGGGCTGCCCATGCAGCACCCTCCTCCACCGCCTCCGCCTCCGCCTGCCAACCCGCAGTGGTACGACCAGACTGCGCCACCACACTTCCACCATCACCATCACCACCACCACGGCTTCATGCCGCACCAACACGGCGCAACTGCCGCTTACTGACACGACGAGCAGCAAGTCCTACCGAAGAAGTGCAATATTTCCCTTTCCGTCAACTTCGACCAGCTATAATTTCCAAAAAAAAGCGGACACAGGCGATCCTTTTTCAAGAGACTTGCCAATCGGTATAAAAACTATTGTACATTATTGTATATTCATTGAAAAAAACAAAACAATTGAGTAGACGTGAAGTTGTATATTGTAATATATGTATAAAAAGAGTGAAGTACTTTTTTCTACGTGTTCTCACAACCGCCGACGGCAAAAGTGGACAGTGTATCATACTACGTACCTAGTGTTATCGCGTATGCCGCGTCGGCTGGATATATTTTGACAAGGCTTCTAATCTGAAACTGTGATAACCTGGCGACGCGGCCGACGGCCAGCAAATGCGAAACTTTTTCTGTTAGTGTTCACCGAGTCGACCACAACGCTTTGATTGTTCTTTATGTGTCTCCCTCAGCTGCAAAAATATTTCAAATACGGTATCCGACGATAGTTCATTCTGGTGCCTTCTACTGTATAAACCTTTATCATCTTTCGTAAACCAGTTTTAAAAGAATGTATTTAAATTTAAATATACGAATGTAATTGAAATGTGCTTTGTTACAAGATGGCAGACTAGACTTTTCTATGGCAGACTAGCTGTGATACCATTAATTACCAACGATCTCATAACATAACCTTTGTGAATACCTTTAACAACCTCTATCCTTTGATATTAGATTACTAAATCTCCTTTTATCCTACCACCCTCCCTTAGCAAAGCATTTCAGAAGCTTATTTTTCAGCAAACTATCATTGAATACCTAATCTTTATCCTCAATTATCAATTCACTTTATGCATTTACCACTAGACCATTCATGAAGGATCAAGTATGGCACAAGAAGTTGCTGTGGAAACTCAGGGACTTTTCTTATCCTCAAATCCTATCTTACCAACATTTCCAAATCACCTTTAGTATTCCCTTCATACCACTTTACCTTGTAATTCTATGAGTAGCACAATTCATACAGTTGATATCTCACACCGTTCAAACACCCCATGGGCGTTAGCGTTGGAGGAAGAAGAAGCAGAATAACTTTATTCTGAGACTGGTGTCCCCTAAGATTAATATACATGAAATTAATAAAGGAAACCTTCTATGAAATTAAAAATAAAATGAGATAGAAATCTTGGCACCATGTATACCAGTAGGCAGGGCATAAGAAATAATAACTAGAATTTTAAAGAAAAATATCAAATATTAACGTAAGGTCTCTGCTTGGAGGGAGAGATGAGATTTAAAGGAGTTAAAGGAGGCAGCGTGACGAATAAAAAGGAGAAGGGAATTTCAGAGTTTAGATGCTCGGGTCAGAAAGAATCTTTCAAAGGTACGGGTTGTATGTTGCGGAAGGATAAGGTACGGGTGTTACGATTGTGATGTGAGGAGTTGAAGTGGAGGGATGGGTGACGACGAGTGTGGATGGACTGGAAAAGAAAGCAACCTAGGAAATACTGTGCACGGAAGGAGGGGTAGAGCCAGGAAAGTTGGGAATACAACCCCGACACCCGGGCCTCCCGTGGGGTGCCGAACACGAATCTTACGCAACAATTCATAATACGCTTCAATCCCCCCCCCCCGAGAGACCACCGTATGCCACACAGCTGTAATCGAATAAGGGAAGATAGAAAGAGTTTGCGGGTGGAGAAAAGTAAGAGAAGCCAGGACCGACGAAACAGACTGAGGGAGGCGGGAAATGTGAGGATGCCAGGAAAGGTTTTGGTCAAAGACTACTCTTAGGTTTTTAATCGTGGAGCAGAAGGGAATGGGATGGTTATTTAGCATGAGAGGTGGGATGCTGGGGAGGAAATTGTGTACTAGGATAAGTATGGCGGTGGATTTGGACGGATTGAGGTCTAGGGAATTTTTATGTGCCTATTCATTGATTGAGTTTAGGTCTTTTTGGATCTTGAGACTGGTGAGTGAAGATCGAAAGGGTGGAAAGATATGTATATTTGGGAGTCATCGGCGTATAGGTGGTAGTTACAGGACTGGATAGAGTCGGGCAGGTCTTTGATATAAATGGAAAAAAGGATAGGAGTGATTCTAGGCACCCCAGATTTTAATGGGAGGAAGTAGGAGGTAAGGCCATTGGGAAGGGAGACAGACAGCTTAGTGGCGATTGGTAAGGTAGGAATGGAACCAACGGATGGTGCTGGTGGAGAAGGAAGATGATTCGAGTTTAGAGAGGAGGGAAGAGTGAGGGACAGAATCGAAGGCTTTGGAAAAATCAAGAAGGACAAGAATAGGAACTTTCCGTTGGTCCATTGCTAAGTGGAGGTCAGTGGTAATTTTTATTAGTGCTGATTGGGTGGAATAGCCGTGGCGGAAGCCAGATTGGAGGGGATTGAAAAGAGAGGACTGCTCAAGGTGCCTGGACCCACCTGAGGAATAAGGTAAACCAACCAAAAACCCAATATATAGTTTTTGCTTTTGCGTACTCTCACCGAAACTCGAATACATTAAGCTAATAGAATCTTGGACTAATTCTAGACTACAGATTCACTACGAACTCGATCGAAACGAACAGAATCTAATTATTCCACAATAGTCGTTCCACATCCCATACCAATCTTTAAATGTACCATATGCCTCGAACTTGGTCGAGTACCACTACGTTAGTTTCCACTTTAAACTATCGTTCCATTTCAACCTATTGATTCAGCTAATCCAGCACAGCACTTCGAGCACTCACGAATGAGAGGTTCGGTATATGTCGAGTTATACTTTATTATTATTATTCACTAGTTTAGTGGTCCGCTTGACCAATTAATATCTTAATTATTAATAATAAAGGTTACCTTAATTAATTGTAAGATATTAATTGGTCAAGTGGACCACGAAACTAGTGAATAATAAGTTTAAAATGAAGTATACTTCACTAAAGCTCTCCGTAGCCATTTCATTTGTCGCCGAGAATCAAACTGATTACACGACATTTGAAAAATGGCAAAAAGGAGGGAAAATTCAAAAGGTGTGGTTGAGATGGGAGGTTGGTGTCCGAGTGGATCAAGGTCACGATAGCTCAAGTGGTACAGTAGCAGCGTATCTAGCCGAAGGTCGTGGGTTCGAATCCCGCTCGTGCCATAGACTTTTTTATCTTAACTGAAAACCTTAATTAATTGTAATTTATTATTATTATTGTTTTGTATTGTTATTTTATAATAGCAATAAAAAAATCTTGCACTCCTGTTTCAAAACCATCATAGTTAAAAATGTGTTGTGGTAATACTTTACTTGCATCCAAAATTGAGTATGAGTAAGTAACATGTAACAAGGAGCAAGGTGCCTGATATTCAAAATTAAAAACAAGAGTGGAGAAAATACCCATTGGTATTGCTCCAATGGTGCTAAAATATTGTCAGTTTAATGGAATTGATACTAATATCATTATCACATTCACTATCATCATCGTCATCTACCTAGCAGATCTCGCGGCCATCTTCAGTCGGTGAGGAGGGTTCGAGGGGATTCGTTCTCGATGCGAGGTTTCCGATATGCTCCTACGGTAGTTGGGTAGGTTCTGTGATATTTGCTGCAACGGGAACGGATTTCACCTTGAACGAAAGGGATATATAATTCTGTGTGTGTGTATGTGTGTGTGTGTGTGTGCGCGCGCGCGCGCGCGTGCGTGTGCGTGTGTGTGTGTAGTTAGGTTCGATTCATAAAATGGAGCCTCTTTCGTCGGAGTAAGACTGGGCAGTTTGGATGCGGCGGATTTTAACAAGAGCCTTTCAACCAAAAGCATCGATACCGTCCACTTAGGAGCATAAAGAGCATAAATACCTTACTAATTACTAGTATCGGAAAAATTGTATAAGCACGGAATATAAGTCTCGAAGTACTGACATTTAACAAAAAGTATTCGTAATCAAAACGACATTTTTTTATTCCTTTGTGAGGTTCATATGAAGCCGTAGTTCGGTAATTTCTGATCACCCTGGTCCTCCAAGTCTCGCTGATTTCGTCTGTCAGAGTAGATTCGTCCAAATCAGCCACTGAAAAGCCAAAACGCGTTTGGACCAGACACAACTGAATCCTAAATCTAGCCAAATTTGATCAATTAGTTACATCATTTATACGTTTATATAAATGATGTAACTAATAACTAAGTTCACCGTTGAGGAAAATTGGGTTGAAGATGATATAATCATAATGAAAATGAACTAGGAAGTCGGATTTTTTTTTAACCCAAGCACTGCAATAACCAATGTATCCACTCGATCCTTCTCCTAAGGAGTAGCACTGTCGGTGCTACAGTTCTTTTCCATAGGCTTTCTTGGTATCCTCGAATAATCTGGATCTCAGTTTGGTTGGGTGAAAAAACAAATTCATTTAGGGATGGTTATCTGCCAAGCTTTCGACCTATTTTAAGGACGTCATCAGGGCAAAACAAACTTAAACATGTTTACAAATGGACATAATTAAGTTTTTAATAGATCGTTTCTTTGAAGAAAAACTCAGTACCAACTTTGCCAATTATGTCCAATAATGAGCGGTTGCTTCGCATTCGTAGATGATGTATATGCCGGGTGTCCTTTGTAGACGGCCACTGAATTTCTCTTGAACCAATGACGTTACTCGGGAAAAAAATCAACGCTATCATAAAAACTAAAAATACGTGTTTAATATGTTTAGTATATTTAAAAAATTTTCTTTTTTTTGGAGAAAAACTATACATGGTATCTCAGGCCCAGTTCAACTTCAAAATTTCAAATACGACCCTGTACATCCTTTGAAATTCAATTTGAAGTTGAACTGGGTCTGAGGTACCCTGTATAATTTTTCTCAAAAAAATGTAAAACTTTAAAACTAGACTAAAAAATATTAAACACGTATTTTTTGTTTTTCTGTTAGCGTCATTGGTTCAAGAGAAATTCAGCCAGGCAATCTAATAAGGACAGGTCCCCATCTTTACTCATGGATGTTTAAACCCATGAGGATCTTTAACTTCCGGACTTATCCCCGAGTGGACTTCTCACACGGCCAGTGTTCTCAAAGAGAACACCAAGAAGATTTTACACGCATGGACTTGTCACATCCCTTGACTAGTGAGGTGGTGTAATGCTAACCAAGTTGAGAAGTCCTTGAAAATGGCAGTTTTGTGGTTTCTGGCACAGCCTTTCAGCCGTGCCTTTCACCATCCCCGGAGAGATAGGCACTCTATCTCCGGCTCCGGTTGGCCGGTACCCTCCAGCATTTGTAGGCAAACCACGACCACCACGAGTCCAACCTCAATTTGTAGAGTCGCTTGGATACCTACACCCATGGTTCAGTAGTATTTTTAAGGTGGGACTGAACGCACACCGAGTTCATACCAGTGTTGGGCAAAAATTAGTCATGTCTAAATCAATGATTGATCACTCAGACTGTTAGTCATGATTGGTAGTGAGTGACTAATTTAGTCATTAGTCGCCATATGTGATTATGACTAAATTAGTCATGACTAGTAATTAAATACGAGGCATGACTAATTTAGTCACAATATAGTTAGTCATGACTAAATTTCGATAAATCATGTTCAAATGGGTGCTCAAAAAATGAAAAATACACTTCATCACTTTTAAAAAAATTTCTAACAGAAATTTATTTCATCAAAACGAAAATCCTTCAACACCTTATTTAACAAAAATCTTCCAATTATATGTAAAACTCCATCCAAAAAATAATGATAATAATAATAAAATAAAATAAAAAAATCCTATAACAGCTACGCTTTGAAAAGTAAATGTTTAAATAACCGATCAATGTAAAAATATTTCTTTGAATTAAAATTTATTCCACTTAAAAGGAGAGATTTCTACATTATTTGGAAAATACACCATCTAGGGGTCTTGATCGTAATAAAATAGACATGTAGAATAATTACGTAACTTTGGTTTTCGTTTATGATAACAATTTTTGAAGGTTGGCCTTGAGCACGACTCTCATCTCAAAATTTTTATCCGGAGTCGGTTGGATTTTGTAAGTTGGTCATTGTAGCCAGAGTTGGGCAAAATCAAACTAATTCAATCATGATTAAGAATTAGTTAGATTTTGCCCAACTCTGGTTCATAAGAACCCCCTACTGATGCACCCGTTGCCTGAGGGGTGCGGGTTCAGTAACCCAGGAAGCCACTGCCATAGAAGAGGGGGGGAGGGAAGGGTAAGGAAGGTTAGAGGAAAATTTTGCCTCCATCATTGGTTACCCCTAGTCACCCGCGCTAATTGTAGAGCTTGCCTAGGCCCATAGGGAAGGTTACCCTACGGGATGCATCTAATAAGGACAGTCGTTCCCAAATACTCGGTCGTCCTTCAAAGGACAACGAGATCTTTATCATCCGTACCTGGCTTATGGCCTTACCGGACGTTTTGATTCCCAAGATGAGAGATGACGCAACTTCGCTCACGACTGAATGTGTGTTACAGCCGCACGCGTTGGTGTAGAAGCTGTCCCAGCCCCGAGGGGCCAAGACGAACCTCGCTCTCCGCTTGCCCATTCCGAGTGGTTGGGTCCGCATTGTGCATCGAACCGTATGCCGCGCGTAAAGGGCTACGAAATGCATCAGCCTGTCTCCCACGCACTCCTTAGCTAGAGAAAGCCACTTTATCTCCCAGAGTATTGGGGCTCCTCTAGTGTAAGAACTATCGGATCCATTCCAGCCGCGGTTTTGTTTAAAGTGGAATTGTTAGCCACCCCCTAGAGGAAACTGCCTTCGGTAAAGGACGCCATTCATGTAGGCACCACCGACCACTATCCTTCCCATCCGCCACTTCTCACGCATTCAAGGGACTCCGTCAGCGTAGTCTGAGGTCTGAGTGTCCTCAACGCTAAACGCTTCGATGGTCCGATCCTTCGTTTCCCGGGAGGCCGGGGTTGCAACGAAGGCCATACGTAAGTGCTTGGGCGGAGTTCACAAACGGAAGAACAGCCTCTTCTCTAAGTTCCCGCCAGGAGTATCACCACTAAACCACTACGAGACCGTTCCCATGTAAAAGGGGCTGGACTTTGGAACATTGCTGCTACCCCATAGTACAGATGGTTTTGCACTCTCCCACACCTATGCAGACAGGAACTGGTACCCTAACCCTCGTGTGCCTCTGATAAGGCACCCGACTCCCCTGCCGACACGGAAGCCACTTGTGCTTTAGAGAGGTTGCCATGCCCTCAAGGCTGCACCATTATTTTACGCCTGGATACCCTCCTTGTAACCAAGGGTTGGGAGAGGTCTCAGGGAAGAATGCCGAAGGACCTGGATTGAGAAAGGGAAGTGAACGAGAACACCTTTTCAGCCTGCACCCCCCCGCGCCTTGTCCACACTGTACATCTACCTTGTACCACAATGTACATCCATCCCTAACCATCTCTAATAAGGACACCCTTTATATGCTTTTCTAGCAATAGCAATATGTATATTAAAAATAACGTGCTAAATAACACAACAACGCCGGGTTATAAAGCTAGTTCTTTATATTTTGGCTAATTGTAAGACAGAAAAAAATTGAATGATCTGATGCATTATTGTTTGATAAGGTGGCAAAGTTGCTTTGTTAAGTATGTGTGAGATTAAAGATAACTGATTGTTGAAAAATCATGAGTCAACAATTCTTTAAAATACTCTTCAGTGAAACGCTCTGATAAAAAGTCGGCCGATTGTACGACTTTTTGCTTAAGTTATAAGGGCATAACTAAAGTCCATAAGGGAGAGATAAGTTTTCTAATATCTAATATCCAGACAATATTCTCGCTTAAGTTTTTAATTGTCACAAAGTTCTGGAATATTTTTAGTAACTTTTGACGTTTAAGTGATGCTTCTGCAAATCAAAAAAGTCAAGCCTAAAATGTATAGAAGGAACAATTTTTTTTAACAATTTTGCTAAAATTCTCATTCTTGAAGCAATAAACAGAGCTAATTTTGCTGCGGAATATTTCTGAAACAGTTCCCCAATAATGGAACTTAACAATGAAGAAATTACATGAAACATTTTGCAATCTAATGCAATTTTATCATTTTTATTATTTTTCTGCATGCATCATGGATAAAAAAGTGTTTTATATGTGAAATATTATTAATTGTAAACATATTAATAATATTTAATCGGTAGGGTAAATAAAAGAAACGATAAAGCCCCTTTGCGATTCGATTTTTCCACTATCTGCCAAGGTTCCCCTCCCCGACGTTATAAAGGTGACGGCGATGCCCAGCGGGCCCCATAGTCGAACCGTGAGCCTCGCAGCGACAATGCTGAACCTGCTGTTCTTCCTGCTCATCGCCGCCGAGAGGACGACATCCGCCGAAGGCGACTGGTGGACCTCAGCGTCGCTGTACCAAATCTACCCTCTGTCCTTCAAGGATTCGGACGGGGACGGAAGCGGAGACCTCAAAGGTGAGCAATCCCATGGCAATTTTCTTTTGACAAAAACATATTAAATGTTAAGAACGAGAACAAATCAGTTTTAACAATTTCCTAACGATAAACGGTCACTAACAGCTCACTAGATATAAAGTAGTGAATTGTACCGACTTATGGGCCAAATAGTAATCGAGTTCTCCAAAGAGCCTTTACGACCAGTCATGTTGCGAAATAATAATAAACTCCCGAAGTCGTTAACCAAGTTTTGCCCTCACATTCCATTGGCAGTTGTAAATACACGTCATTTCCCATAAAACAATTTCTGACCGTAATAAAACGATAATTCCTCGAAATATCTGAAAAAAGTGTAAACAATCGATTTTTTTACAATCTTAGATTGTTTTAAAAAAAAATGCTCAACAGCTTAAGTTTTCGGAGTCTTATCGGAAAGCCGGAAATTGTGAAAATTGGTGTTTAACGCGGTCCATTTCTCGACCTATTACCTTGTCGTTTTCCTATCTAATCTCAGTATAAAATAAATACAGATAAACCTATTGATCTTCCATTGACGACGGTATAATTTTTTTTAAATTGTTTTTTCTTTTTCAAAAGTAATCACCTTGAGAAAAAAATAAAGATCAACTTGACCAATAAAGGCGAATAAGACTGCCTGGAAGAAAAGCTTTGGCATGTCCGAAATGGTAGAAGTAAAGTTACTTTCAAAGTTATACAACTGTAAGGTATACATTACGTACTGAAAGTTAGCATTGTACATAAAAGCTCTTTTCTGGAAGTCTTGACCCCGTCGTCTTTTAAGATGCTGGGTTCTTGGGATGGTTCCTTGAGCAGTAGGGTCAGGATGGATCGAAAGGTTGGAGAGGAACTTTCAGAAGCAAGAAAGGATCAATGTGTTGAAGAAAGGAATACGTAATAATAGATGTGTACATAGGGTCATTTGCATCTAGTCATAATTCAGACACATTAGCCAGTAGTACACATGTCTGGAGGTCCGTAGGGTTATTTTGGTCTCGAGGCCATCGTCAATTAATACGAGTGCAAAGATGTCTCATATCATTTTATAGCATTTTTTATGTAGATTGCAATAAAAATATAAATAAAATCCTTGACCCACCAACGTGGTCCCTTAAGTAAAAGCACTTTCAGTCAACGCACAGATTTTATAACTTACAAAAATTACACTCTAGAGTATGCCCTCAAGGATCAGATGTTACCATCTTTACTCAACTGATCAGACCGAGGTTCATTAACGTCCGGACTTACCCCTTCTCAGAAGCCCGGTATCGTCCGAGAATGGCACCTGGAAGATTGTACTTGCATGAACCTGACACATCCCATTGCAAGCGAGGTGGTGCGATGCCAAGGTTCAGAAGCGCCCCCTAGAAGCACAAACATATGCCTTTAGAAATATAATTTTGTTGTTTCCGGCTTTTCAGCTTTCAGCCATCCTTGAAGATACAGAGAAGGCACTCTATCATCTACAGTTTCGGTTGACCTACCCTTTAGCTAAGGCAAAAGTGTTCTCAAACCAAGACCACCAGTCCAACTATCCAAAGGGGACAATGCAATTTCATCAAACTATCCAACAAGTCACTTATAAACCGATAACCTAGAACTGTACCTTCTTAATTATCTATTGTCGCGACAAGAAATCACAAAAGTCAAAATCCTATTAATAATCTAATAATACGGTTGTAGCTAACAATCTGTTCCTAGATAAACAACAGAACAGTTCATAAAGAACTCTTGGCAGTTTACTCGAACTAACGTTTTCATGATGATATGAAAAGACATTTAGAAGTAAATAATGCTTTAGGTATAACGTCCGAGGTGGACTACTTCAGTACACTCAAAGTGGACGCGGTCTGGCTCTCACCCATTTATGAGTCGCCTTTCGAAGACGGTGGTTACGACGTTAGCAATTTCACCAAGGTCCACCCAAAGTTCGGTACTCTCGAGGACTTCACCGAGATGGTTGAAGCATTCCATAAAAAAGGTGAGTTGAGCCAAAGACGGTACACGGGAAGGACTCAACATTTTCCGATTTTTAGGGATCAAGGTACTTCTCGACTTCGTGCCCAACCACACCAGCGACCGGCACCCATGGTTCCAAGACTCGTTACGGAAGATAAATGGCAAAGACGACTTTTACGTGTGGGCTAACATGAGCACTTTCCAGACTAAACCTCTTCCTCCGACCAACTGGGTACTGTTTTCAGTTCTCAATATCTCCAAAAGATTTGACAGTTTCTTTTCTTGCAGAAATCACTCTTGTACAATGGCAAGGAACCGGCCTGGACATACGTCAAAGAGAGGGCTATGTTTTATCTGCACCAGTTCGGCGAGTTCCAGCCTGATTTGAACTATAAAAACCCGGCTGTCGTCGACGAGATGAAGGTACTTTTTGCTTATACACTTTTTTAAAGTTCTTCGAGATTAATTACTTTGGTATTCAGGACGTTTTGAAATTCTGGTTGAACAAAGGAGTCGATGGCTTCAGGGTCGACGCGGCACCTTTCCTTGTAGAAGGAAGTCTGCTGGACGAACCTAAATTACCAAACTGCCCTGACGAGAGGTACAGCTGCTACAATCACACCTACACCATGAACCAGAACAAGACCTTCTCCGTTCTCAAGCAGTTCGAGGACGTATTGGAAGAAGCGTCGAAGACCGGATCACAAAAGTAAGAGTCAAAAATTCACAGAATTAGGAAAATGTTGATTTTTTTGCCATTCAGGGTGATGTTCGTCGAGGCCTACACGGACGTTAACAACACTATGAGGTATTACGGAAAGAGGACCGTCCCCTTCAACTTTTTCTTGATAACCCATCTCCGAAAAGATTCGAATGCAACGGCTTTCGCCAAAGCCATCAACCAATGGATGGACAATTTACCAAAAAACCACCCTCCGAACTGGGTCGTAAGTTTCAAAATTTTACGTAGCTGTTGTTACAAAACATGATCAAACATAGCAATAAATTTATCACTTGAGAAGAACATCTAAAACACTCAGTACTTATAGCAAAACTCATTTAGCTAAAAATAGAACTGATGAAATTTAAAAAAAGCAGACCGTCTAGAATGAATCATATGGGTATAAATGGCATTCCATCCTCTACTCAATTCTTTGTCCTGTTTTCAGCTTGGCAACCACGATGTCAACCGTGTCGCCTCTAGGCTCGGCAAGGACATGATCAACTTGATGAACATGCTCGTCCTCCTCCTCCCCGGGACTTCAGTCACCTACTACGGCGAGGAGATCGGCATGGTCAATTCAGACGTTAAAAACATCAACGACTCAGTGGCCTTCGACAGCAGAGACGGGGAGAGAACGCCGTTCCAGTGGAACAACCGCACAAACGCGGGTGAGTGGAAAACATTTTATAACAAGGTATCGACGTAAATCCCGTATTTTCAGGTTTCTCCAACGCCTCGCACACATGGTTGCCGGTCAATCAGGACTACTACGAGATAAACGTCGAATCTGAGAGAAGCTCGACCAACAGCTACTTAAACTTTTACCAGAAATTGAAGGAATTCAGGAAAACAGAGATGGCAGATAAAAATTGGAAAGGTGCTATGAATATAAGCGACTACGTCTTAGCCGTGAGAAGGTGCTTTCATTTCTTCCTTCCCATTCTTACTTAGTCCATCTAAGACACTAGCCAGCCTTCAATTATTAATTTCTCTTGTCTAGGGATAACATGGTCATGGTTTTGAATTTGGACAACCAGAATCAGAAAGTGGACCTGACGAAGCTGAACCTGGGGTCGGGCACGGTCGGACACATGAAACTGTCCACGTACAACTTAGCCTTCGAAAAAGAGTGAGCACCTTGAAGATTTTCATTTTTGCTTAAGACTAACGTTCTTTCGTTTCAGGACGGAAATCGACTTTTCAAAACCGATTGATCTGCAAGCCAAGGCAGGCTTCGTCATGCAAGTACCCAGCGGTGCAGCCACATACTTCGCTTCCCTGTCTCTCTTCATCGCCTGCCTATTCTTCTCGCTCCGTTCCTAGAAATTATTTAAAAAACTTAACAAATCGATAAAATTAAACGTGACCATTAAAACTTAACCAGCTAAGAAATCCAACTATTTATGTTTACTTTCACCACTCGAACGGATGGTTTTATCCGACTGCGATTAGATAAGAAATAAATTTAAGTTTTTACCACCCTCTGTGCAAGTATTGTTTACTCTTTCTAGACGAAGAAAGTGCCTAAGTTTTTCCTTCGATCCTACCACACAATAACATGCCGTATTTATTGTAAATTATTTCTATTTTAACTAAATAAAAAAATTTTGTTAATAGTTTTAAAATAATACTTTTACCTGTTTTCCATTTCCCAAGAAATAATGCTGAAAAAGAAAAATTCTTGACAAAAACTGGCCTAAACATAACTTTGTTTAAAAAGGGCCCTTTTCAAGCCATCAACAATGCCATATTAGAAAAGTTAAATTGAAAATAATGAAAAGTCAAAAATTGTAAAAATGTGAAGAGGACGTATATTTTGACACTCTTTATAAAACTCGTATATCACTCGAGTTTGAAAGAGGACAGTTTCGAGTGGCGAGGATTTGTGAACGTGAAAGATAAGAATATACGCGCGGTGTGTAAATATTTTAAAACAAAAACTTTGAAATACAGACGCCACGTATTTTATGAGATAAAATTTTGAACAAACAAAAAAAATCGATTGTCTCATTGAAAGTAATTACAAATGGGAGTGGCACAGTTTTGGACAAATATGACATTCAAAGGATTGTTATCAGAGGATTGGTATGCTTACAAATAAAATTCTGTTGCATAGGTCAATTTTGTAAAAATCCCATTGGACGGAATTTTAACAACGAAATAGATAAAAAGTCAAAATAGATTTACACAAATTTAACGTAGTTGTTTCTTACAAAATGAATGATTGAATCTTACTATTTTTTACTTTCGGTGTTTCGACATGACTTTCGGAAAAGTAAATCAACGGACACTACAATTTTTGACTTTACAAACTACAATTAATTAAGGTTTTTAGTTGAGAAAAAAAGTCAGTGTCACAAGCGGGATTCGAACCCACGATCTTCGGCTAGATACGCCGTTGCTCTACCACGTGAGCTATCGTGACTTCCATCCACTCGGGCACCAACTTCCCATCTCAGCCCCACCTTTTGAATTTTGCCTCCTTTTTGCCATTTTTCAAGTTAGCCATGGGAAGTTAGTGTCCGAGTGGATCGAGGTCACGATAGCTCAAGTGGTAGAGCAGCGGCGTCTCTAGCCGAAGGTCGTGGGTTCGAATCCCGCTCGTGACACTGACTTTTTTTTCTCAACTAAAAACCTTAATTAATTGAAAGTTTATTTTATTGTAAATTCCTTCTCTTTTTCTGAAACTTGATTGAGAAAATACCTTTTCTGAACTCTACTGCATAATTGGTCAAGCGGACCACGAAAACTAGTGAATTTACAAACGACGTTCATTCTCCTTTGGACGAGGGAGACTCTCTCATTTTCTTTCCCTCTCTCTCTCTCTCTCTCTCACTCACTCTCTCTCTCACCCTCTCTCTCTCTCTCACTCTCTCAATCTCTCTTTTTCTCGATCTCTCACTCACACACCCACAAAACACATAGAAATGCGCACACATATTTAATCTTTCTCTCTCTCTC